TCTTCTATCGTACTTAATTAGTTAAAGTAGCCAACCATCCATTGCACTCGGTTGGTTGGGTGTAAATGTATTAATTTTATTTTATTATTCATCACACACCATCCACCCTAGAAGCTGGAGGCGCCTATAAATAAGATGCTCATTTATGCTTTCTCGGGGGTGGATTTTCTGATTAAACTCTAAATCTCTCTCTAGAGCCGGCTAATTATGCCGCTCCCGGTTACTCTCCTCTCAATAGTGACTTGAACTTTGGAGCAGGTCCCCGCCGACCACCGCCGACGGGTTCCACTTTTGCAGGTGTCCACTCGGAGGCTGGTGGCGGACGGTGGTCAGGAAGTCGCGCTCACCGGACCTCAAACACATTGAAGCAGGCTCTTCGGAGCTTGGCATCAACAATTGGAACCCACCGTGGGGCCCGGTGAGATTAATACCAACAAACCGTCAATCCAGCAAGACGAGGTGGACACACAAGATCTGAAAGCCGAAGCCGGGATTCGTCAAGATGCAACTCTAAACATCAATCAAGTTGCTATCTCCAAGAATCGAGGATCCCAATGAGATGGACATGCAGGATCTGCAAACTGAAGGTGGGATTCGTCAAGATGCAACTCCAAACATCAATCAAGTTGCTATCTTCAAGAATCTAAGGTTCCCAATGAGATGGGCATGCAGGATATGCAACCCGAAGAAGGTATTTGTCAAGATACAACTCCAAACATCAATAAATTTGCTATCTCCAATAATCGAGGATCTCTCGACCAAGATTGATATTTGTGTCAATCTTTGGTCCGGAACTGCGTGCCCTCAACCCCACTAATTCCTCCATCGATTTGCCGCGAAATCATAGGATCCTCGAGTCATCCCATGGAATGGCGCCCTGACATCAACAATTGGCACCTATAGCGAGGCTTGATGAAAAGTTCCATCAACAATTTGCGCTTAATGTGGAGCCCGGTGAAAATTTTTACAAATTGTCATTGTCAACGTCAAACCCGCTAGGAGAGATGGTGGAGAAACCTGATGTCGTGCAATTCACAACGAGGTCGAGGGGGCACCGATTTTGGTTTGCCTCTCGTAAGACCTACAATTTAGCGGAAAAGCCCGTTTAGTCTACTTTTTATGTAGGCTCACCTCCATCAATGAGGTCAAGGGTTCAATTTCCCGCGAAATGCTATTGCGAAAAAAGATCCACTTTTTCACCCACACCACTCTGCATCCATCTCTTCCGAATCTAGACGGGACAACTTTTGCATTATCATCACCAATTTGGTAGAGGAAATCCAAGTATGAGAATTTTTTTGTAAACGCAAAACTATCTGGTAATCCCTGGTAACTCTCATTTATACTTGATATCAAAATTATCCTATGATGTTGCATAACCCAAACTATTGTCCTTATCACTCATATACGAACAACACTAAACACACAGCATAAGCCCGCAACAATTGGCATTTGTCGCTTGCCATGATTGGTTTGGGTTGTCTACTATGATTGTCACGGTTCGGAATGGTGCCCACCACGACTGGTGCGGCTTGCCTATCACAATTGACACGGTTTTCCATGATCGCTTGACATAATGGTATGGTTCATCAATCATGACTGGCACGATTCTCCAATAATTGCTCGCACAATTTGTGTCGGCTATGCATGTCATGGTTTAAATCACTCACCTAGTGAGTTGTTACCAATAGAAAACTATGGTTCAACCTTTATTTTTCTATTGGTAAGGGGGAAATTGATGGACCCAGTATTTAACCGACATCATAATATATGTCTTTTTACCATAACACTTTATGAGCATAATTCTGTTATACGTGGGGGTGCAAACTAGGGTAGCTATGAGCTTAGTTCTCCTGCCTATCCACTAGTCCTTACCGTATTGCACTTTCACTCACACTTAGCAAGAAGGTAAATGGTAAAGATAGTTAATTTCCACCAACAATCGTTGTATGTATTTTTCATCCATCCAAGTTATGCTTTCCCATGCAATACGTGGCTGGAAACTTTGATATGGAAAATTCACCCCTTGGCTTTATATGTGTATGCCAGGTAAAAATCATATCTTTACCTTTGTTGGTAGGATGGTAAACAATACATTCTTCTCAAGAAAAACATCCTTGTCCTATTAGTAAGGATACATTCTGATGGAACCTTTGTCCTCTTCATTTTCCATCTAGCCACCCACCTTCTCTCCCATTTCCATCAACCCACGCGAAAGAATGAGCAAGGTGGCAATTAATTTGACATGCACTTCTCATTTCATGGTGTAATGGTAGCTTCTTAAATCACCACCTCATGTTCCACAAGTGACACATATGCTTAGGTTGGGGAGAAGTTTACTATCCACCATTTACCCTACCTACACACTAATACACATGACCTAAAAGGGGTCAAATTATCTCCCTTCATTCCACGTGGTTTCTAGTGAGCAAGACAAATGCTTATTTGTCTTCCATTTCTCTACCAATTTCCACTCAACTCTCCTCTTTTACCACAACCAACCCATGTTCCCTTTTATTCCAATAGCCACACGTGTATAACAAAGATGAGGTGTAATTATAACTAATTATTTCCCATCAATATTACCACCCTGTATGACCATGTGTCACAATAAAGAAAGGAAAGTCTTTATTGTCATGGTAGGTTTAAGATCTCTTTTACTCCCCACCATCAACGAGTAAAGGTGAGTATTTTACTTCCTTTCTTCTATCGTACTTAATTAGTTAAAGTAGCCAACCATCCATTGCACTCGGTTGGTTGGGTGTAAATGTATTAATTTTATTTTATTATTCATCACACGCCATCCACCCCAGAAGCAGGAGGCACCTATAAATATGATGCTCATTTATGCTTTCTTGGGGGTGGATTTTCTGATTGAACTCTAAATCTCTCTCTAGAGTCGGCTAATTATGCCGCTCCCCGTTACTCTCCTCTCAATACTGACTTGAGCTTCGGAGCAAGTCCCCGCCGACCACCGCCGGTGGGTTCCTCTTTTGCAGGTGTCCATCTCGGAGGCTGGTGGCGAACGTTGGTCAGGAAGTCGGCGCTCACCGGACCTCAAACACATTGAAGCAGGCTCCTCGGGGCTTGGCATCAACAAGTGTGTTAGGAAGTGGTTAAATGTCATACATGGACCTCTCTCAACAATCCAGTTATTGAGACCAGTTGATTATGACTTAATCAAGTTCTCGCTTTGACCAAGATTTTGCTAACATGTTATGCTATGAATCGTTAAGGCTAGACATGAACATTTTTGTGTTTTACAGTGTTTAGAGTGTTATTCGAATGATATTTCATTAAGGTTATTAATCATAGTATTTGCGGTGTATTTCGAATATTATAATAATTGTATAATGTGAAGGATTAAGCTTGTGGGGTTTATTTAATGAATGTAGTTAATGTTGAGTCATATCTTCGAGACACTTCTCATTTTTCGAGGAGACTACCATCACTAATGGATTAATATAAGGTTAATCTTTATATCAACCAAAACAGTGGCTAATTCATTTTAATGTTGGAAACTATGTAGCAACCTTGCTATATATATGTCGCATATAGAGATAATTTTAGTTATAAAATAGCGATGCCAATTCATTTTGGTTTTATAAATCTTTACTACCTGTAAAAAAGGTCCTACTACAAGGGACTTCAACCAATGGTGGCTTAAAACCCCTGATACATGTAGCAAAGACAACATTCACAGCAGTTTGTCCAAGGGTTAAGGAAACCCCCTACTAATCTCATACAACTTTGCATATAAAACTTCTGAAGCATTTGAAGTAGATAACATGCAATAAAAAGATAAAAACAAACTTCTCATAGATCTATGTAGACAATTGTAATTATGAATCGATTAGTGTCATCTCATCCTTGTAATTATGAATCCTAGTTCTACTTCTTTCAAAACCAATGCTCTAGTGCCCAAAGAAACTAACTTAGCTAACAAAAACTACAGTCGCCATCTGTTGTTACTAGTTAAAATTCAAGGATAACTTGGTTTGCTGCTACTGAATATATTGATATACGACAAACAAATATTTCAACAAGATTGAAATGATTCACTCTCACATTGGCCTCGTAACACTTACATTCCTAAAGATTCTGATCTACAACACATTTGACAGAAACTTGCTTTGGTTTGGTACCCTTTTGGATACGGTGGCAACACAACAGTTCGCTAGAGAAGGAGGGCCCATTGTAAAGAGTAGTTGGGAAATTTTCCAAAACCATTGTTGCTTCATGTCCACGACGAGGGAGGCTGAGAGATGTGATGAAATTCACTTTCAACAGCGGAGATTCAAACATGGTGTGAAGGAGGAGAAAGACAGTGAAGTAGTTTAGTAGAGGTGAATAAAAAAAACTATAAAGAAGATCATATCAACGACAAAGAAGCTCGTTGGGTCTATTTATTTCTTTGACAGTCAAAATGAAAGGGAGGACGAGGAAGAAGATGCAATTTTGTTTTGTTTGGTTTTGTTTTTGCGTCCTGACAGCTTGGTTTCAGCTGATGGGCAAGTGTGGAAAAGATTTTAACAGACTAATTGTGCCACACCATAAAACAAATAAATTCAGTTGCATTGGTGCCACAATTTCCTCCAAAGGATTCTTAATCTTTTCTGCATCACCCGCCAATCACTATGAATATAATAGTATTCGACTACGCCTACAAAAAAACTGAGATCTGCAGCTTTCGGGGCTTACACAAACAAAAGTCAAATAATTTTCTTTCCCATAACTCAAGTTCGTGCATTTGCTGAGAGATTTCTCAATCTATTACCCATTCCCTTACCAATAGATACTACCCAGATAACCCAAAATATTATGCTCACAATGAACTAGTCACAGTCAACATTGGAGAAAAGATGCGTACTACACATACATATACGATTACTTATTGCCAATACAAATTCTATCATATGCCACTACCTATCACGTGGACATCAACAAGTATTTAACATTCGCCCAACTTGAATATTCCTATCACTGAGCTCAGCAAACCCAGTTCCCTTGATTCTTTATTTGTAAAAATGAAAAAATCATATATATCTATAGTGAACAATTGAGAAATTACACTGAAGAAGCTTGAACCTGAGCAACTTTTGAAGTAGGAGTTGCGGTAGCAGCTGCAGCAACTTTAACATCCTGATTAACTGCACCACCAGCAGCAGCAACACCTTGCCTAGCATCCATGGGCGTTGCAGCAGACACCGGCTGGTATGCCGATGTGAAATAAACTTGCCTCCCTGCGCTGTCATAACCCATTTGCACATAACCCTGCTGCTCCGGTAGCCCGACCTTCTGTTGAACAACTCCCATTCCTTCTGTGTAAACCCCAACTTTAGTCGGTTGCTGCTGTTGCTGATGCTGTTGTTGAATGGTGGTAGCATTACCAGTCGCCGGCATGGCATTGCACGCCGCTGGTTGTTCCCTGTAAGCCTCTTGCAACACTCTCTGTGCTCCATAATATCCCGGATGACCCATTTGTCCGGTCATTGGTCTCAACCCTTGAGCTTGGTACATACCGTTTGATGTAGGGATTAGATAAAACTGGTGCTCGTTTCCGGCAGGCGCCGAGACAGGATATGGTCCAGAGGTCACGTGACGCTCCTGAACGTAGGTGCCAGGCATTGGCATCTGCACATGCACGGGAACAGGGGAGGGGCCGGCGGGAGTCATTTTCTCGGGGACTTTCTGGACGTAGAATTCTCCGGGGAAGCCTCTGGAGTTGGAGACGGCGATGTGTTCATGATTACTGATTTGGAATCGATGAAAGTCTTGGATGTGTTGTTGTTGTTGCTGGTTCATGACCGGGTCGCCCATCACGTGCCGGTCCTCCGACCCGCAATCCGACCCAACAGAAAAGTCCTTACTGGCTACACCACCGCCAACAACCTCTGGAACGGGAGGGGGCTGACCCATCGGCGTGGACTCAGCAAGTTTCGCGATCGGAACGCCAGACGGGAAGCCTTTCTCCAAACCGAACAGAAAGTCCGGATTCCCCTCCGAAACAACGGTCGGAGGCGGGGGAGGGACTGCAATTGAATCGAGATGGTGGTCGTCACCACCGCCAACAGGGACGGAATTCAACGCATCGACAAACCACTGGCCTTCGGATTTGGCCTCACCACTGCCGGATCCGAAGCTCCTCCTGGGGGATAGGTTGAATATGAAGAGCCTCAACCTAGCCGGCTTGGCGGAGGCGCCACTGCGACAGAGGCGATCGAACTCGGCCATCATGTGCTCGAGATCCTCGTCGTTCGTGACGGAGATGAGGGCATCGAGATCTTCTCCGGGGAGCTGGTACTTGAAGCAGAGGTTGGATTCGGAGGCGGCGGCGGGTAGGCCACATAGCGAGGAGAGCTTGGACATGACGGCGAAGTACTTGGCGGTGCGGTCCAAAGAGAGGATCTTGGTCTCGCCGCCGATGTAAGCGAGCTGGTTGTCGTGGGGACGGGGCTGGATTTTGCCGCCATAGCTGCACATGAACTTGACCTTGTAGTTGGAGGAAGGGGGCTCGTCCCACGATTGAGTGTCGTCGATCTCGCGGGAGCGAGGAGAGGAGTCGCCGGAATCAGGGTAGGAAGAGTAGGAATAGTTCTCCATTTTCTGGTGATTTGGGGGTTGTATTGCGAGTGGGAATTGTGTGATTTTTCTGTGAGTTATTGTTAGGGTTTGGAGTGAAATGAGGAAGAAGCCATTTGGGGAGTGGAAGGGTGGCGTTTGTTCATAGAGAAAAAGGAGAAGGAAACGGCGGAGGGAAAGGAAAGTGGAAGAGACTGGAGAGAGATATGGGCTAAAACGAGATGGAGAAGGAAGCGGTGGGGCCAAGCGAGTAAGAAGGAGGGAATAATGGGGCCTGTTACAGGTGATTTATATTATTGGGCAAGAGAGAGAGAGAGAGAGAGAGAATGGTAGGGGAAAGGAAAAGAGAATCGTGTGAAGCGGAAGCGTAAAAAGGAAGGCAAACTCATTCTTGACTTTTGTTTATTAGGGATAAAAAATACACTTAATCATCTGATAATTATAAAAATCTTAGTGATGGGGTCATGAGAAATAAATATTGGTGGAAGACTTAGAATTTGGAGAGATGTTAGGAAGATTAGATGTTGATGAAGGATAAATAGTCAATAAAAGAAGCTAAATAATTCTCCTACTATATTCATGTTGGATTAGGCTAGAGTCAGTAGTGGATTTCCAAATTTTATTTGTGGGTGTTATTTTCAAAATTAAATTAAAAAACAAAAAAATTAATTCATTAAATGATAAAAATATGCGACTAGTATAAGTTACAACAAAATAAGACAACGTGTTTTCATATTTTGAATAAATGGTAAAATTTAATTTGTGTCTACATTGCTCAACAAATCCCCATCCGAACTCATTAATAAACTTATAGCTTATTTGATTCAGAACTTGTTCTTATGTAATCAAAAGCTGAAAAAAGTTCTTTCAACATTTGTAGTTGCAATCTTTGAATTTAATACAAGTTTGTGAAGTAAATAGAAAGATGAATATGATTGATTCACTTTTGTCTTCATTTTTAACCAAGTTAATTCACATTTTATTTTAATCCAAATAATATCTCATCATTCTTGCCATTATGGTAATGATGTTTTTAATATTGAGGAAGAAATGAGTCAAAAGGTGATCAAACTCATTAGGATAAAATCGAGTAAGGCTAATTAGCTTCTCTTTAGCATCACACTCATCCTCCAGCTAAAACAAGTCATAAAAGTTAACTAACTGGCATTCACCTCATCAAAATGGTAGTTCAACTCTTACATTTTCATGTCAAGAACCGAGTAAAACAATTCAACCTAATAGTTATGGGTTAATAGCATTTTGTACTCCTTTATTATGGTAAATTAACAAACATACCCTTCTACTAAATTTTTTGTACAAACATATCATTCTAATATTAAAACATAACTAATTTATCCAAATTACCCCTCATTTACTCGTAAATACTTATAATTTTAATTATAATTATTTTATTATGTCCCAAATTAATTAATTAAAAAAATTAAATCCCTAATCTAATTCACTCCCACTCGACCAGAACCGTCCGTCTTTCTCCGCTCAATCACACAGCTGGGGCCAGCTTCCCGGCTTCTACCGGCGATGTTCCGATTGGATATCCTCATTGTTATTCTAAAGCTGGGCTTAAGAATCGGAAGGGTGATTGAAGTCCATCTCGGTACAGCTAACTAGCTTCTTGAACTATATGATGATTGGATGCCTCACCTGAATTGGGTAGTAGCTGGGCCACGATGGTCGGTGGTGGGGATATATCTCCCGACAAACAAGCTACGCTACCCAGATAAAGACATTGCGTTTGGGAGAAACGATAGCGTACGAATGTCTAGCCGTCTAGTCGCACCGGTTCTCTCAGTTCCAGCTGCCGGCGAGGAGATGCTGGGAGTAGCGCCGCCGCCGAGTCAAGGGAGATGGAAGATTCTAGGCGGGTCCGTGTGAATTAGATTAGGGATTTGATTTTTTTAATTAATTGATTTGAGATATAATAAAATAATTAAAACCAAAATATTGAGTTGTATAAATAAACGAGGGACAATTGAGTCATTTCATAACTCTTTTAACGGACACTTAATAGATAATATGATGGAAGGGTAATGTCGTTACGTTTTAATACTAGAATGGTATGTTTGTGCAAAAATTTAGTAGAATGGTACGTTTGTTAACTTACCATAGTAAAGGAGTACAAAATGCTATTAACCCAATAGGTATGCAAGCTCAGTTAATATGAGAAGTATGGGAATTGAGAATCTAGTTTTCAAAGTTGTGGAAATTAGGGTTTGCTTTGGACTTTGTTTTATATAATAATTGCATTTAGGTTTTAAACACAAAGCACAATTAATTTGTAGGGGAATGGATAACATTTTCTCTAAATAAAATTGTAGTGTTATGGGTTTGAATCAAAAGGTTGTGGAAATTAGGGTTTGCTTTGGACTTTGTTTTATATAATAATTGCATTTAGGTTTTAAACACAAGCACAATTAATTTGTAGGGTATTGGATAACATTTTCTCTAAATAAAATTGTAGTGTTATGGGTTTGAATCAAAAGAACTACGACATATATTTTTACTTTTCATCTAATTTCAAACTATCGTTAGGAAAACTCCACATTTTAGAAATATTAAGAAACACTCCTAAAAAATTATCAATATGCTATCTCAAACTCAAACTAGAACAAGAAATCACTAACACTTCTCAATTTTTAAGAGCTTCTGAGGACACCTTAAAAAGAATAAAAGCTATGGGTCCGCCCCTAATTGCTAGAGTAGCCTGTAGTGTTATACCACCATGGAGTCCTTTGGCCAATAATTGTCGAAAAAGTTAATATGCTAACTTGAAGATTCGTTAGTCGATATTAACTGATATCTAAAAATGTATGAATTAGTAATTAAGTTTGTTGATTTTATGAAGTAATACTAAAGTATCTAGAGAGCACAAACTAGTATTCAAGGTTTGCTAACAGATTTCCACCATAAATCAACTATTATACCAAATTCACAAACTAATATCTAGACAACACAAAAGAGTATCCATACATCACATAATTAGTATCCAGATAACACATAAGAGTATCAATATTGAATACTAGTTGGTTTGATTGTGGATATTAGTTGGTAATTGATTGGTTGAATACTAATTATGTTAGTTGGATACTAGTTTTGTGATATTTTAAATACTAGGCTGTGCTATCTAGATACTTTAATATTATTTCATAAAATCAGCAAACTTGGATACTAGTTCATACATTTTGGATATTAGTTAGTATATACTAACAACTTATGCAGTTAGCAGAATAACTCTATTGACAATTGTTGACTTTGTTAATATTTGAAATGAATTACATTTTTAGGGTAAAATGTATCAACGGTTGATATGTCATTGTATGTTATTATTACGATGCTAAACTGATTGTCATTGAGACTAATATGAAGTTAATTGATTTTATTTAAATACACAATCAATACCTGGAATTCGGTCCATCGGGGATAGGAATGGTAATAACAAGTTCGGGGTGGGTATCTCGAATACACATACTCGCTCTGTGGCAGGTCATGTCTAGGTTAGATAATTTGTTATGGGGCATGGGGTGTAGTAAGTCGACTAATATATGTATGTAATTTAAAAGGAGAATATTACAAATATTTATTTTTCCATTAAGTACCCAAGAAACAATCTATAGTAGGAAAAATATAATTTATTATCCGAGAAATTGATGTTTCACCTATTTACAATTTCATTATAGCTAAAATATGATCTAATAAAAGTAAAATCTAAGTCATTTGAGTAAAGTTACTTTTATTTAGATAAAAATAGGTCAAGAATGAGGCGGGTCAGAGCAGATCAAATCAAGGAGAGTGTTCGCTCCGCCCCGCGTACATAACAGGTATCCTAGGTAAAACAAATTAGGACGAAATTGCATCCTTAATTGGGAACACTCCGATAATGAGAATTAGAATACTGGAAAAATGAATACATGAGTGAGATCTTACTTGCTATCATAACTTTTTCTTATATCAAATTCATGATTCTCCTAAAAATAAGGATAAGCAGAGATATCCTACAATTTCTTTTTTCTTATTATATACATGATGTTCACAAATCACAACTTGCGAAGCTTGGAATAAACTTGTAGTTATTTGCTCTCTTGCTCTAAAGCGCAACAATGACCCTTAAAGCTTTCTTGATGTGGATTACTCATACTAAGGATTTGGTTAATGTGTAATGTGAAGAGTCGAATGCTAGCTGGATTAGCTGGACAGTACTTATATTTGTCAGGGTTTGAGTTCCACTTAGAGGAACTCAACTTGAAGTTAGATAAGAATAACATAAATCTAGAAACTAGGTTCCAAATGGCAGATCCAGAAATTTTACGTATGAGTGTTCTATCATAAAAATTAAATTTAAATTAAATTAATTATTAAATAATAAAATATTCTACTTGTACAAATTACAACAAAGCACACGACATGTTTTGTATTATGTAAAAAATTATAAAATACATTTTGTGTGTAACACAGCTCTGCAAATCTCTCTCGACATATCCTACTAAACAAGGGAGCCTGTAATTGATTTTAATCGTTAGCTTTGAAAATAACAGGAGATAATGAATATTTTTCACTATTATATTTGGATTTAAAATACAATAAAAAATGAGTTATAGTCTGATGAAAAATATGTTTACTAATAGTAGTAGTGACCCAAGTTCAAATAAGATAGACTAAAACTTAAATATTTCTATTTACCCATTTAGAAACTACTAATGGAGTTGGATAATCTTTTTTTTTCAAATTTTAAGAGTGCCCGTTTACCACTTAAATATTTTTTCACTCGTATAAGCAAACTACTGTCACGAGTTGAATAATCATTTTTACAAATTTTAAGAGTATCTCGGGACACCCCTAAAGCCCCATGGATCCGTCACTAGGTCGGACCAACCTAGTTATTCTTTTAACATGAAGATTGGTTAGTATATACTAGCTAATATCCAAAATGTTTGAACTAATATCCAAGTCTGCTAAGTATCTAGATAACACAGACTAGTATTCAAAACATCACAAACTAGTATCCGAATTGCAAATACCAACTAATATCCACAATCAACCAACTAGTATTCAATATGGATACCCTTATGGGTTATCTAGATACTCTTATGTGCTATCTGGATACTAATTATGTGTTGTTTGGATACTATTATGTGTTGTCAAGATATTAGTTTGTGAATTTGGGATAATAGTTGATTCATGGTAGATATCAATTAGCAAACTTTGAATACTAGTTTGTGATCTCTAGATACTTTAGTACTTAAATATTAGTTCATGTATTTAGGATATCAGTTAGTATCTGCTAACGAATCTTCAAGTTAGCAGATTAACTTTTCCCGGGTGGGACACCCCTAAAAAAATCATGTGTATGTGTTCTTCTCCTTACCGTCCTTTATCATGTGTTTGCTTTTCAACAAGTACACGACTTGTTGGTCTAAGGTTGAAGACGACCAGATAAGGGTCAAAGCCAATCTCGTTAAACTCTTGGTCTCTAGCAACGAGTCAAGTCCAGCCCACAAGTCCAGACAACCGATCCATAAATAATCGTATTTATTTTATCGTATTTATAAGATTATCCGTGTGCTACACGTGTTCTAAAGTTCTTATCAGTAGCATGTCTCTCACGAGGAACAAGATCCAAGGATTGAAGATACAAGCTCATCAACCAGAATGATGAGTCATTTGCCTCCAACCATGCAAGTTGAAGGACAGTCTGCAATACAACCATCAAAGCTCGATAGCAACAGTTATGCCTTTTGGAAATGTTACATGAAAGTTTTCCTCCAAGCCTATGACATGAAGGTCTGGATCAATATCAAAAGAGGACCATAGTAAGTTGAGAACGATATCAGAAGTTGGTAAAAAAAAGATTTGGTAAGTTTACAAGTCAAGGCCAAAACCAAGCATATTCCTAGATGTGCTCTTGGAAGAGAAGAGTATGGCAAAGTAGCAATGTCCAAAACCGCAAAAAGAAATTTGGGGTACCTAAGAGACTATGTGAATGTACATCTTAAATAAAGACACCATAATTAGAATGCTAGTAAGGAAATATGAATTATTTCAAATGAGCGAAAATGAAAACAATACTGAAATGTATGAAAGGTTCACAAATATAGTAAGTTGCTTAATGACTCTTGGGAAATCTACACTAACACAAACTTAGTGGGTGAGAGCTCGCATATAAGGTAACTTAGCCAAAATTATTTTGTTTTTAGTTATTGAGTAGATGGTGAACATCTTCCTAGTTGTTTATGTAGATGACACGATATTTGCCAGTAGCAACTTGAACTATGATAAGTCAAGTGAAGGCATGGCTTCGGCCAGATTTTAAGGTCAAGGACTGGGGAGAGCTCACGTTTTTCTTGGGATTGTAGATACAAAGAATCAAAGAAGGAATCTATCTCGATCAGAAAAGATGTTCGCTAATCCAGGTTTCCTAAACAACAAACAAACCAAGATGACCGTAACTGTGAAGACTATGTTGTAGACAGAGGATGGTGTTCCACTGGAAGGTGGAAAGGAATATAGACACTTGTTGGGGAAACTTCAATATCTTACTACCACAAGGTCTGTTATAGTTTTTTTAGTTCAACAAGGCCAGCGATTTTAATCTAATCATAGGACAACACATCTGCAGGCATTGCATTAAGTAATGAGAAACTTAAAGAGACTCCAAGATAGGGTTTATTGTTTGTACCAAACTCATACTTAACTATCAGATGTTACAATGACTCTGATTAGGCCACATGCCTTAACTCTAGAAGGTAAGTTACTAAATAGTGAACCTTTTTGGGTTCATCTTTGATCATATAAAAGAGTAAGAAAAAATCATAGTTCCAAGGTCTTCTTCAGAGGCAGAATATCAAGTCTTGCTTAACTATGTTGTGAAGTTCAATGGTTAAGGCCTTGATAGAATTATATTGCTGAATATTATGTCTTTCAGGAGCAACTAAACGCCTTGAAGTTGATCTACATATCACTCGTAAAATATCGAGGTTTGGTGTGATTACTCTATAAAACATATCCACATGATATCAACCAGCAAATGTATTACTAAGGGGTTGTCTACATACATGTTGTTGGTCTTGATAAGCAAGTTAGGTGTATTGAATCAAATAGATGAAGTTTGGATGAACAACAACCCAACTCTATTAGCACAAGGGTAATGGTAACCTTACAAATGTTGATGCTATTAGAGGTCAATCGGTAGAAAGGATACTATCCTTTCTACATCATTTTGACTAAGACACAACCTTAACGACTAATGCCCTGTGATTAACACATGTAAAGGTTAGTTAGTCATTGTTTACTATACAGTTATATTGAAAGTAGGTAAGTATAGGATAGGAGTGGTAACCGGTAATCTGGTTACCGGTTAACCGTTTACCGAACCAGTAACCAGCAGTATTCGGTTGACCGGTAACCGGGCGGTACCGGTATTCGGTGGGGATTATGATGGAAACGGTGTACCGTTTAGGTGCCGGTTAATAACCGGCGGTTACCATATTAACCGGATACCGAAATTACTTCTCCCATTCACTAAACGGCAGCAGACTACCTGCCCTTTTCTTTCTGATTTTGCAATCCACTTCCCCTGCGCTACGCCCTGCCTGTAGGGATGACAACAAAACCCGAACCCATGGGTACCCACCCGACCCAACCCGGTCAACGCGGGTAAAATCCGTGTTGACGGGTTTTGGGCCGGGTTTGGGTTTAAACCCGTTCACTATTCACCGAGTTAGGTCGGGTTTGGGTTTAGGTAAACCCGACCCATGGGTACCCGCCCACACCCATATAATTAATTTTCTCTGCATATTTAATATTCTAAACAACTAATCTTATTTATGTTTGTGGAGACAAGTCTAATTTTTTCTTTCTAGTTATGTAGAATGAAGCTGATGTTATTGAGTGGAGAGTGAAAAACTTAATTGAAAGGAAGAAGCTTTCGATTAATCATGTTATTTATGGATAATTTGTGATTTGCTTCAATTTTCTTGAGTTTTCTAGATTGGTGTTGAACAATTTGTGTAGTTAATTTGTGATTTGCTTGAATTTTCAAGAATTGTGTTTTATATATGGATAATTTGTATTGAGAGATTGATATTTGACTTTAATTTTGATAGGAATTTGTTATTGTGAATTTTTTACGACAAAAACCCGTGGGTACCCATGAACCCGTGGATACCCAACGGGTTGGGTTGGGTTTGAGTTTTTCAAACCCAGTGGGTTTTACCCCGGGTTTTTTTCACGGATAAACCCATGAGTTTGGATTTGGGTTTGGCAAAACCCGATCCAACCCGACCCATTGCCATCCCTACCTGCCTGCCTTTCTCTTCATCAAATGAATCCCCCCAGCCACCACCGGCCACCGCACGTCTCCCCAGCCACTACGCCGCCAAATCTGATATTCGCCCAACCACCGCCATTTTTCCGCTCCTCTTTTGCCCCCGCAACCGTTGTGGAGAACCCGCGATTCCCGATTCCAGCTCTCTGCTCCAATCGTTTTCTCCGCAGCCACCAGCACGCAACAACCGCCAGGGGAAACTTCATAGTCGGCGGCGATAGAGGGTTGAGAAATCGAAAAAACGAAGAGGAGAGGAAGGCTTGAATATGACTGCATGCAGAGGAAAACGAAGCGGTGATAGAGGCTTGGAGATGAAAATGAAGCGGCGATAGAGGATCTTCAGTCGTCAATGTCTTCTGGACTTGATATGTTGAGTCTTTTCGAGAACGCTTGGAAGCGGCGACAGGATTATGGTGCGGATCGATGTTGTTGGCGTTGGGAAAGGAAGAGAAAGATGAAGAGGAACGCCTGGATTTCTTCACACACTCCATTTTTCGGCAAAAGGAAGAGGAACGGTTGTGGGGTTGTATTTAATGGTGAACAAGTTTTGGGTTTTTGGGCGATGAAAGCAGAGTTAGGTTTTTTTTTTTATATAAATGCCATCCCCATCCCTCTCCCTTCTCGGTTACCGGCTAACCGGTAAGGTAACCGTTAACCGATAAACCGGTTAACCGAATTTAACTCAGTATCAGTTGGCGGTAGCATATTTAGGGATCTCGGTATTCCGATAATCGGTAACCGACCGATTACCAGCCCTAGTATAGGACATTATTTATTTTAGAATTGTAAATACTATATATATTGATGCTATAGTTGAATGGAAAGGCCAATGAACCAATTCCTTAAAACCTTATATGCCTCCTCCTCCTTCATCATCGTCGTCTTTGCATAGTAGACAAGGATTTACATGACTCAAAAACTCACATCCCTCTGTCGGTGCGACTCTCAGTTGAGTTCCTTGCTCTGTCACTATTAGTTGAGGGCCTTGGACTTAAAATGCCATTCAACGAAGCCACCACGTCCAAATTTAAGGTCATATTTTAACGACAACACATTTTACCAACAACAATGGGGTTATCAAAAAGAACTTATCCATACATACAAACGCATAAAGATGGCACTCTTCCATGATATGATGCCTAAGGACATGAAGGTTTACGTGGACGACATGATCATAAATTTCAAGGAAGGGAAAACCATTGGGAGAAAGTTTAACCAGTTCCCTTAGATTATTTGTGGTTTAGTTAATTTGGCTACTTAGAAGTTTTTAAAAGTTTGGTTTAAGTGGTTTAATGTGGACATAGACTATACTAATTAGCATAATTAATTAACGAAATTTCCTCTATGACAAAAAAAAAAAATTAACGAAATTTCCTTTATGATAAAGAGGCGCCATTGGCGCTAAAGTCCATTCTACCTCCTAACATGTGTAATAGCAACAACACATATAGGTAAGGCAAACCAAATGGTGCATTCGACTCGGTGTACTAAAGAGACTTATATCACCTAATCAAGTGAATGTTGTTTCATGATAACATGTCAATGTGATGTGTAATAATAGAGATGCTTATGAGGGAGAACAAAAATCAAATTGCACATATATTGCTCATATGGGATGAAATTTACCATTTAGAGTTATAAATAGATATAACACAAAATTCTCTCCTATCACATTTTCAAGGTAATTGTACGCAATGCAGTCAAAATCGCGCTTTAAAATATATAAACTTACGGTTTTACGCTTTTAGGTCATCAAAATGCTTTCGTTTCTATGTAAAAACTTTAGTGTATAAAATCAGACTAAATTACGCTTTAAAACTTAAAAACTTGTGCTTTTATGCTTCTAGTTCACTAAAACGCTTTACATTTTTACGCTTTTACTTCACTGAATGGGTATTATTTTCATGAAATTAATTATAAAAAGTATATTTTAAAATAAATCACCAACAATATGATACGTTTGAGATTAAAAGATACATACCAGATACTTGGATGCATTCTAAATTTCAATTAAATAATCTAATTCATTGTCTAGGCTCTTCCCAAATTCATTAGCATGGAGGGGAAGGTGGCTTCTTGATAAGATTTATGTTTATGAACTTACTAGTTTTTTACCCGCCCGTTGGGCGGTGTATTTTGTTTGGTTATTTTATAATTCGTTATATTATTCTAATTATTATTATTATTTATGTTTGTTAAGATAATATATATGAAATTGTAAATCCCACTTACCTTATTTCATGTATTGTTTCATACTTTTATACCTTTTGTTTATTTATGGACATTTTAATTTTATTAACTGAGCTCTTTGTAGATTGTTCTTTATTGATTTATAATTTTTTTTATCAAACTCGCCCTTTAAGATTATAAACATAAGAGTTATTCATTCTTTAGCACACAATTGTGATAAAGAAGTTAAAAAATTTACAGCCACAAAAAAAGAAGTTAGAATAAGAAAATATGCTTCAATTAATAAATAAAAAAAGTGAAGAGTTTTTTATTTTCTCTCCCTCTCATATGTCGGTATACGATAATAGAGAATATACCGATCTAAATCCCATGAATATCGTGTATTATCACTTACAAATACAACTTTGGAATAATGAGGAAACTCATTAGCATCCACGTCCATCAATCTTCCACGTACTCGTTTAATTACCTTGAAATGTTCTAGAAAACCAACCACAAACAAAACTATGAGCTGTCACAAACTTATTAAAGCAATATTTTTAGCAAATTAAAATGCATATACTTAAATACAATTTATGTTTTGTAGAGAGCTACATATCTCCTGTAGAAAAGAATTGTGATTTTTACCAAATAACAACATAGAAAAATAATGAAAGGAGCAGTCTTCAATACAACTCAACTCATTTTATCCTGCAGATTCCTCATTTATGAACTGAATATATGCATCAATCCAAATAGTAGTTTGTAAGAAAACAATTATGTCAAAATCAAGCTTTAGTTAGGGATTCAATGCGGAAAAATTCACCTTAATGAAACAAACAAATGTCACAGCAAACATGTAGAAATTCAAAAAACATCGACATAGACAACCGAGAAACCACCATTATCATTTTCTTTCTTCTTCGCGACCTTTATAAAACCTCAATTATGTTCCCTTCTACTTATAACCTCTTTGCTACCTACTAATTACTAAACAGACCATCATTGTATTGCTAGCTAGTAGTATGTCAATCATGAACATAAAATATAATAAACATCTATCACAACTCTTCTTTCTATTTCAACATTCAAGAAATCGGGTTGCAATAGGCATTCAAGAAAAACGATCAATTATTCAATCAAATGAGGTATGTCCTAAGTCCAACCAATGAACCCTTCTAATTATACTTTATACCATCCAGCAATTATAATTTGGAAAAAAAATAAGAAAAGAATGGGAATAAGAGTATAACTCGGCCAGTCAACCGCAAACAATAACGTATCGTTGAGAAAGTGAGACCAGTTGCCAACTTCAGATCAAGGAGGAAGAGGGAGCAGTAGACAACCCTCGGCTTGCTTCACCTCATCTTCACAATGATCAGATGAACTTTTTTCGTTAACAGGCAAAAATATGTTACAACTGCTCAAAATTTGTCATCTAATCGTTGCCTCGTGTAACTCCTGCCTCCTATTCTCATACAAAGAAAAAAAAATCATATGCATTATCATTTCCTTCTCTATAAATTATGAGAATACAAATATTAGAAATCTCAAAAAAATTAACAACTAATAAAAGGGTTTTGTTTACTTTTATTGTGGTTGACATACTTTCTTGATTTCTTATTTTCAAAGTTGGATTTTATTTCTAGTGAGGCAATCAAAATGGGAAAAGGGACAGAAACAAATTAAAAGTTTGCATTAATAATTAATATGTTTTTATTTAATTGGAATAAATAAGAAGTTATTTAAAATATAAAAATTATTGCTCTTCAAGTTTTTATTCAAACATTTTGCTATAAAATTTATACTTGTTTTATTTAATAGGTATGTACATTAGAAAGAAGTGAGTATTTGATAGCAAAAAAACATATAGTTATATCGATCATTTCTCAAAGTCGATTGATTATCAAACGCTTGTTTTCTATTAAACCATCGTTTATATTTTGTTTAATTGAAAATATTGTTATTTATGTGTGTGTGTTTTTTTTCTTCATCAAAATGTAACTTATTATTAAATTTTAGTAAAAATGAGTAGACAATTACTTAATCAGATTTAATCAGCCTGGGTTAAACAAATACGATATATCACTCTCTGTTTCCATCTTTATAGTTTGTTTAATTGAAAAAAAAGATGATTACTTATGTATGTGTTTGTTTGTTTAAATGTTTTCTAAAAAATTAACTTATTTTAATTTTAGTAAAAATGAGTATAATTATTAAAAGAAGAGAGAGATAGCTTCATAAATAGATCAATAAATAGTTTTTTGTTTGTAAAAAAAATTATTCACATTGGCAACTTGTGCATTCACCAAGTGCTTATGTGGCAAGAAGTTATTTTTGAACAGCCATAATATTTAGTATAGATAGATATAGATAGATAGATAGATATAGATTATTAAGAAGCTATAAGTTGTTCTACTTTAGACATGAATTGCAAGTATTTATTTATTAACTTATCTAAATTTTGTGCACTCATAGTTTACATAGTATATGTCGTACTAAACATATTTTTAGTTCTTTTACAGTATGCGTCAAAAACTTACTCTTTTACACTTTAATTCTACGATTTACGATTTTACCCATTTTCCGCTTGTAGGTAGAATCGCGCTTTTGACTGCATTGATTGTACGAAAATTTAAAGTACTTAGAAACAAATATCTAGTGAACGGTGAAAAAAATTCCAAAAGTTTTAGCTTTTTGCTAGAGTTTGGTCTTATATTACCCAGAACTTATAAATTTACTAAAATTTTCAAGTGCGTTAGCGTTTGAGAAAATACAAACATAAATATCCATCCCACGAATAGCCAGAGCCTTGCGGATAGCTAAGATGTTGTTTAAGCATAGCCAAATAAAGAAAATGAGTTTGAGAGGAAATTTTAAATTCCACACCCATTTACAAACTGTATGAACAATAACATCTACACGATGCTTCAAAGGGTAGAGCAAGAAGATTGAAAAGCAACATGATACCCATACTTTACCTCGTACTCACCAGAAGGAGTGAAATCCCAAATAAGAGTATCGGTAACAGGAAGTAGGATGGCAATGGGTCGGGTTGGGGCGGGTTTTGTCAAACCCAAACCCAAATCCATGGATTTATCCGCCAAAAAAATCCAGAGTAAAACTCGTTGGGTTTGAAAAACTCAAATCCAACCCAACCCGCTGGGTATCCGTGGTTTTTGTGGTAAAAAATTTACAATAACAAATTTCTTTCAAAATAAAAGTTTAACATCAATTTTCTCATACAAATTATTCATAAAAAAATACCAATCTTGAACATACAAGCAAATCGTAAATGATCAATACAAATTGTTCAAAATTAAAGATAAACATCTATAAACAACAAGATTAATTGAAATCTTCTTCCTCGTCAAATAAGTTTCTTCACTCTCCACTCCATAATATCAACTTCATTCTAAATAATTAGAAAGAACAAATTATACATGTCTCCTCAAACATAAATAATATTAGTTGCTTAAATAAAATATATTATTTAGAATATTAAATATACCGGGAAAGTAATTATATGTGTGGGCGGGTACCCATGGGACGGGTTTACCTAAACCCAAACCCAACCCGATGAATAGTGTAGCGGG